CCTGCGCGAGAGGGCTCACGGTGGTGCCGGCAGCGCACACCCCCCGGGGTGCAGGGGAAGCCATGAAATGGGAAGAGACCACATGAAACACAGTGCAGCAGCTGATGATTACAGGGCCGGGATATTTTAATGCTGAGTTATAATGAAGATGCTCCGAGGCAAGAGGAAATTAATTTTAAAAGCTGTCCTCCTCGCAGCCGGCTCCCTTTGCCAGCAGGGAGCCATGCGGCAGCCTGTCCAGCCGCCCGAGCTGCTCCCCCTCCAGGGCACAATGACTTAGATGCTCCGAGGCAAGAGGAAATTAATTTTAAAAGCTGTCCTCCTCGCAGCCGGCTCCCTTTGCCAGCAGGGAGCCATGCGGCAGCCTGTCCAGCTGCCCGAGCTGCTCCCCCGCAAGGGCACAATGACTGCAAACCACCCCAGCCGGGAACACTCCCCAGGGGTCTATTGTTCCTGCTGTACAGAGGAGCAAAGCCAGCTACAGCCAGGCTCCCGCTGCCCCAGCAGCAGTGGGGCAGACGGCGTGCACCGGCCCCCCACACCCCACGTCCACTGCTCCCCCTGCTCCTCCGCATCCCTCGGGGCTGAGGGGACCTCCGGGCTCTCCTGTGGCTCCATCCCAAACAAAACAGCTTCATTGGCCAAGTCGCAGGCATTGAGGAAGGAGCAAAATAGCGACCAGGTTCTCTTCTCCAGGTCTTGGAGCAGGAACTGGGGACCGGGGCGCAGGCGCCCACCGAGCTGGAGCGTGGTAGGTGTACGTGGCACAACCCCCCTCCGCTCCCAGCCCCGGCCACCCCCTCCACCCGCAGAAACAGCCGCAGCCTCGCAGGGCACGGTGCAGACGCGCGACCCACCGTGTGCCCAGCATCGCCAGGGACAGCGAGAGCAGAGCTGAAGATGCAGCTGTGCACGCTTCAGCTTTTAAAGGTCTCTCCTTCCAGAAACAGAAATAAGTAAATAAAGGACAGACCAAAAGCGAGAGGCAAAAGGCTCAGTCTCAGCCCAGAGGCAGCTGTTGCTCGTCCGTACAAATAGCTGTGTGCAGACACCAGCCTGGAATACAGAGCTGGAGCATGAAACAGAGCGATGTCCACGGGGCTCTATCCAGCTCTGCCCTCAGCACAGCTGACAGTTTCCAAAGAGCTGTGGGCTTTTGGGGTTTTCTTGTCTTTTTTTGGTTTTTTAAACAAGGTGCAGAGTTAATTCCCCATGTGGCACCTGCTCAGCCTGGAATGAATCTGACCCACTTCACTTGCGTTTGTGTCACCTTGCTAGAAATGGATCCGTTTGAGCGCTGGGACAGCGTGCAGCCGGCAGCTCCGCAGCGCCCCTCGGCAGAGCCCCCGGGACACCGTGCTGCTGCCTACCGGCACTCACCCCTTTGCCTCCAGATTTCTGGTCAAACGGCACCATGGTTATCCGCTTTGATTCCCTCTGGTACGTGCAGTAATGCTTCACCCAGGAAGTCCCAAAGTGACCTGCAAACCAAATGCAGTTTTTATCCCCAGAACTAGTGCAGTTTCAGTGCCCTCCCATGAATAACCTGCACGTTTAACAACCATTTCATGACAGATTTCTGTAGCTACGGTTCTCGTTGGACTTTGCAAGTGGATTAAGCCTTATTACCCCCCCTTCTGTTCAGGGGAAAGACTTCTATCAGGCACTGGCAGTGATTCTCCCTCCCAGGGAGAACCTGGCTCCCATATTCCCACCTTAATATCGCACCCGTGGGGCCGATCCCTCTCTTTCATGGATTTTGTAGCCTTCTCAATGAGCCTTTGTGCCCCACATCCCAATAAACCCCCTTCCGCAGCCGCATTGCCCTGGCAGGCAGCTCCGCCGCCCCGACACCTACGTTTCTCCTGCACATAGAGATAACCCTCCATCGTGTAAGGGCTGATGTTTTTGTGCTCGTGAGGATTCTCCTTCATCTTCTTCATCAAAGATTCAACCTCTGACCTCGTTCCTTCAAAACGATTTCTCGTCTGCAAATTAAAACAGGAAT